CTGTGGGGTATGGGGTCTCTACAGAACCGCTATAGGGTCTGGGGTCTCTGGGGATCTATGGGGTTTCTCTGGGGGGTCTCTATGGGGTCTGGGGTCTCCAGGGGTCTCTATAGGATCTCTATAGGGTCTGGGGTCTCTATGGGCTTTTTATGGGGCCTGGGGTCTCTGTGGGGTCTCTCTGGGGTCTGGGGTCTCTCTGGGGTCTCTCTGGGGGGTCTGGGGTCTCTGTGGGGTCTCTCTGGGGTCTGGGGTCTCTGNTCTGGGGGTCTGGGGTCTCTCTGGGGGGTTTGGGGTCCCTCCCCTCCCCCTCCCGCCCCTCCCCCTTCCTCAGGAAGCTCCGGGCGGCCCCGATAAGGGGGGAGGGGAAACGGGGGCGCTAATTACGGCGTTAATTACCGGCTAATTAAGGACAGGGTCGTTATCGCGGCACGCCAGGGGTTAATTAAGGAAAGGGCGCTGGGGGGGGGTTCCGGGGGCTAATTGGGGTTAATTAAGGAAGGAGTAATTACGGGGGGAGGTGTGGGGTTAATTAGTGGAGAGCTCATTAATGGGGGGTTCATTAGGGGGTTAATTACTGGGGAACTCATTAATGAGGCTCATTAACGGGGGCTCCTTATCGGGTTAATTACTGGGAATTCATTAATGGGGTTAATTAACACGGGGAGTTCTGTGGTTAATTAATGGGGAATTAATTAATGGGGGTTAATTAACGGGGGCTTCTTATTGGGTTAATTGCTGGGGGTTCATTAATGGGGGGTTCATTATGGGGTTAATTACTGGGGACCTCATTAATGAGGCTCATTAACGGGGGATTAATTAACGAGGGGACTTCCGGGGTTAATTAGGGGTTCAATTAATGGGGGCTCATTAACGGGAGTCACTAACGAGGCGTTCATTAACGAGGTTTTAATTACAGCGCTGCTGACGGCCTTAATGAACCTGCTGGGCCACGCCCACACCTGGACCACACCCATTGGCCACGCCCACACCTGGACCACGCCCACCCGGGGTCACCCCGAGGTCACCCCTTGGGTGGGGTCAGGGCCACGCCCACCAGAGGCCACGCCCCCACCTGGGACACACCCCCAGGCCACGCCCACACCTGTCCCACCCTTTGGCCACGCCCCCAGCTGTGTCACAGCGAGGCCACGCCCCCTCCGGGGTCCCCTCCCCCACAAACGGCAGCGCAGAGAGCGAGGGGGGGACAGACGGACAGACGGACAGAGCTGGGGACGGGTGTGACACCTGGGGACACAGGGACACACCTGTGAGTGTGTGACACACCTGGGGACAGGTGTGACACCCGAGACACACCTGGGGATGGGGACAGGGACACAGGTGACACAGCTGGGGACACGGGTGACACGCCCAGGGACAGGTGTGACACACCTGGGCGGGGGTGACAGGGACAGGTGTGACAAGCCCGGGGACATCGGTGGCGCCCGCTCAGACACGTGTCGCGTGCTGTCACCCGTGTCACACCCGTGTCACACCCGTGTCACCCCCCGACATCTCCAGGGGCTGTGTCACACCCGCAGGGCCACCCCCAGGTGTGTCACAGGTGCCACACTCAGGGGTGCCACACACACTGTCACAAGTGTCACACTCACTCAGGTGTGTCACACTCACTGTCACAGCTGTGTCCCATGCTCAGCTGTGTCCCAGGTGTGTCAGACTCACTCACAGCTGTGTCCCACACTCACTCAGGTGTGTCACACACCCAGCTGTGTCCCAGGTGTCACTCTCACTGTCCCAGGTCTGTCCCAGGCGTGTCACTCTCACTCAGGTGTGACACACTCACTCAGGTGTGACACACTCACTCAGGTGTGTGCCCCAGGTGTGTCACACTCACTGTCCAGGTGTGTCACTCTCCCTCAGGGGTGTC